TCACTACTTAATCCTTATAATTTTTGGACATAGAAATTGTACCATCGGTATTATGGTTAAGCGTTTGGCGTAGTTGTTAGGCTGCGTGCTGCGGGTTCGAGTCTCGCGCGTTAATAAGTATTTGTATGGCTTACCAATAAATTGTTTCATGTTTGGCTGTCTGCCCCTGTCCAATGTATGTATGTAAAACGCCTCCACGGTCCAGGAGAAATTATTATTGTGAGGGTAACCAAAAAAAAAGTCCATAGTTCTCAAAGTTTTGTCGTAATTATTATTTTTAATGTCACAGTTACAATTTCAGGAACAACTGTATGTATTTTTATGGTACATCACGACTTAAATAGTTTGATTGTGCTTTAAAGCCATAGGACGCCATGATATTTGTCATCGATTCGTCGTAAGTAGATCTGGCCCACTTTCACATCCACACCGCTAGTAACCAGCGCGTACGATAGCCGACGGTACCGTAAAGTAGGCGCTCCTCAATCATTTTGCACCGGTATATCAAGAATGAAGGAGTTCGTGAGTTATTTCATTTCGTATTTCTTCATGTTCATAAGAACTTCGTGTTAATCTTTATAACACTCTTCTGTTCTCATATATGCTATGATTAAAAGCTCTGTATGTTTCAATTCATTTTACGGGTATAAATGTATGTATGTGTTGTGTGTATGGCCGCGCTTTTCCTTTAAACTATTAAATGGATTGGAATAAAACTTGTTAAATAGACACTTGTATATCTAGAGACTATATTAACTACATAGATGTTGGCTGGAATTCTCAAAATTCAAGTAACATGTTTTGTCATACTCAAAATACTGAATGAAAACAGGTTTTGAAAGTGCTATTTTATTATTTCAATGATAATAATAACTTTCTTTTATTGAATAAAACTATTTTTTACGGATTTTATCGCGTTTAATTAACTTATTTTGCTTGTTTTATTAATTCCCGACGTTTCGGGTGCTTTCCAGCACCCATGGTCACGGGGGAGTGAGGTGATTGACGTCCCGATGTCAGAGTTAATCCCGAATACCTTCAGCTTTTTTAATTATTAATTTTGGTCCGATCTACGCAGAATGAACTTACTGTATCTTGAAGTCTTGCAGTGGTATGCTTGGGTTTAGTTTTAATTTTATTAATTACGGGATCCCAAGCAGGTGGCAGTACCCAGCCTCCCTCTCTATTGAAATTAGGATGTTTTTTAATTTCAATAGCCTCACGTATCATCCTTGGCAGGAATCGATGTTCTTTCGCGAACATCGGAATTCGGAATTTGTGGTTTATCAAATCTAATGTAATGGCGGGGGCCGTCTAGGATATGATCACAAACTACAGACTTCCCAGAACATCAGCTTCACATCAGCTATGTGTTCTTTTACACGGGTTTTTTTTAATTCTATTTTTATTCATTGTGTAGTGTTCGCGTAAATATAAGAAAACTTTCTTTTAACAACTTTCAATTGTAATTTTTTAATATTTACAGTTGCAACTTTCCTTATTTATATTCGCTTGTCGATGTTGATTGTTTTTCTGCCTAACGCTCTGGGTAGAATCAAAGAAAATATAATTTAATAGGTCGAGTATCTTTTATAAACTATAAATTTAAAATTACGATGAAACTTTGGTGAGTTATTGTGCGCTCACCCGCGAATATATGTAACTTATATGACAAAAAAGGCATTGTACGTATGCCGGTCACACCTTGTATTGTATAAGTGACAATTTACTACTAAACCTATAGGCATGCAATCTTTGTTGCCTCTCAAACAGTTCGTAACATACATGATCATGAATTTTGCGAACGAAATCTTGGTAACAACTTGTATAAAGTGATAAAGTCCGTAATTATTTCGAATACATAAATATAAATTATATGCAACACATAAAAGGATTAAGTATTTTTAGAAAGGTGCATTCACGAAATCGTATTAAAAATGATCGCGTTATTTATATCCACTTCAGTACCCTAATTTGCGACGTTTGCAATTCGACTTTTAAAGTTCATCGATGTAGCGCCATTCGGATTTCAAACAACGGAGGTACCTACTCAATGCGACTGTATTTTTTTTTACGTGTTACCTCAGAACTTTTTTCTAGGTGAACCGATTTTGATGATTCTTTTTTTTTTTATTTGAAAGCTGGTGCTTCTCATGTAGTCCAATAAAAATTTGATGAAGATCTGACCAGTAGTTTTTGAGTTATCCTTAATAATGCGTATTTAATTGACTTCGACTACATTGATGATGTTCTCATTTTATTTATATTGAAGTCGGTTGTACAAAATGTATAATTTTACCGCTTGTAATCTATACAAATAAATAAAATTGAAGTGTCTGTTTGTAATGTTAAACAGCTTTTTACTCATTGCATATGAATGTATGTATATACGGTACTTATAACAAAAACACAATTTTTAATTTTTTTTGTCTGTCTGTTTGTGCCGACTAATCTCCGAAACGGCTGGACCGATTTCGACGGGACTTTCACTGGCAGATAGCTGATGTTCTAAGGAGTAACTTAGGCAACTTATATTTGAGAAAAAGAATTAGGGTTCTGAGCAACATAATTAAAATCCTAAATTACACGCGGGCGAAGTCGCGGGGCACAGCTAGTCTTAAATAACTTGCTGACTGAGTTGCCTAACTAAATTTTATGGCTTTAGTTTAGAATATTACTCATGAGTCGATGAATATGACTAATGCATTTACTAGTGGTAGGACTCCCTTCCTGCCTTATTTCTGCCTCCTTTTGGAAAGGTACCTTCCTCTTGCCTATTTCTGTCGCCAAATAGCAGTGCCTACGCTGCTGTGTTCCGATCTGCAGGGTATAGAGAACTAGTATAGTTACGGACTGAGAGGCATTCCATCTTAGTCCTGAGATATGACAACGCATCTGTAGCCTTGAAGTCTATCTACGCATCTGTAGTTTAACATTGGGTGCATGTGTTCATGGGCTACAGTGGCCACTTACCATTCGGTGGATTGTAAGTACGTTTATCAATTCAGTTATATAAAAAAATGCAGCAAAGAGTATGAGGAAGAAGAAGAATTAGACTATTGAGCAAATTGCGCATTGAAAAAAAAAATCTCTAAAACATAAAACTAGTTTTACGGATTTTATCGCGTTTTTTTTTTATAAGATAAGGGTGACAAACGAGCACATAGCCCACCTGATGGTAAGTGGTTGCTGTGGCCCATAGACATCTACATCTATCTTCGATTACGAATCAAAATGCAGATGCGTTGTCACCCGTGAGGACTAAGATGGAATGCCTCGTTTCCAATAAAAAGGGTCTCCGGTTCTCTACACTCACCATACGAAACACAGTAGCGTTAAGCTGCTATTTTACGCTGGTATTCTGTGAGAGCGTGGTCCTTCCCCGGCCGAGCCGACCCATTCGTGCTACAACCATAATATAGCTGCAGCATGGCTCTACCACGTTTCGAGTACTTTACAGCACCCACGGTCACGGAGGGGACTGAGGTGTATGATGTTCCAATGTCATAGTTAACCACGGGTACCTCCAGATATACTTACGCGATAAAATCCGTAAAATTAGTTTTATGTAAATGTGTAGTGCTCGCGTAAATATAAGAAATCAAAATCTCACAAACTTTCTTGTGCGACGTACAATTCCTACTTCAAATTTTTAACCCGCGACGCAAACAGTGGCGTTTTATAACTTTAAAGTGTGTATCTAGGTGTCGAAACGGATGAACCAAATTTGATTTAGTTTTCTTTGGTTGAGAGGTGACTTGATCGAATGTTCTTAGTTATGATTTAAGAAAGTCTGTTCAGCTGTTTAAAGATCGTCAGATTTTTTTGTTCGTTTCGGGTTTTTATTTTTTATTTTAGTTATACATAATTAGGTATTTGCTACCGTTATGTATGTAATACGATACATACATGATTGCTATCCGAAATTTACGCAGCTCTAATGAATTAAATTTTATATTACATATTGTTAAGGAATGTTTACGCCGCATAGCCAGCATGTGAACAGAGTAAGGTCGCGCTCAAGTCAAAGTCATTGCCATCGAGTTACATAATGAGAGTTCATTTGGGAGTCACAGACTGAGGTCGGAGGAGACAAAAGTGAAATAGTATCGTTTAGCTAACTGTTTGCGTATTCGTTTGAAGAAAATAATGATGTGCCCGTCTGTTATTTTATTAATTTAAGAACAATGTGTAAGTAAAAGTCATCGATCACTAATAAAAAACTTGGTTCACGATAGTAGTCGAATGATGGATTGTTTTAAGTTTCGCAATTGGTGTTGGCTAGGTTACTATTTAATTTGTTACATTTATTCCAAATCCTAGGTAATATTGACGAATAAAACCTATATATTTATCTAATAGTTTAAAATTAATAATAAATTAAATTTCGAATAATAAGAACCTTCTCTAAATAAAAAAAAACAATCGATAAATGTAATAACAATAATAACTTTCGAAAGTAAAAGTATAAAGAGCTACAAGAAACAAAAATATTTTTTCATCGAAATTAGAATTAAAAAAAACTATGAATCCGAAGGTGCTGCTATCCACTATCAGAAGGGAAAGAATTCATCTTAGTTGACTTTCAGTTGCTGGATTAGGATCTTCCTTAATCCAGCAACTGAAAGTCAACTAAGATGAATTCAATCCATTGTAGAAATTACTAAAATTAAACTACTTGAAATAATGATTGCTCTCACTCGTAACTGAACGTTATTAGATGTGATTGCTAGTGCATTCCCAAGATACAATTCGTTTTTTTAAGCCATGTCCCTTTGTAATGAACATTAGTTGAAGCACCTAGTCATAAAGAGTCCTCTGATAAAATTACAAGCGCATCCGTGTTGACAAGTGAAAGCTTTCAAATCAATGACAATGACTCTTCTTTTGGTTATTTATGACGTTAGGTATACAGCCAACGGTGTAAGATGTGGTTTTTCTGTCTGTCCACAATTTCTATTATTCTAGCAAATAAATTTGAACAAAATCTTCCATTCCAGGAGTTCGGAGAGCCGGCCGAGTCCGAGAAGCCGACCAGTGAAGAGTACGCTGTGGCTAAGTGGTTGAAAGCCAATGTGCCCACAAAGAAGACCAAGTTTTTGAATCATCATGTCGAATATTTCACTGGTAAGCTCTCAATGACGTCTTACAAAAACTCTTATACACTGTAATCTGAAAATAACGGCTACACATTGTGGTCTCTTCACAATTCATGCTCTTCCTGTTGGTAGGCTCAAATCCAAGTAGCCTCAGCCTAACGTTAAAAAAAAATAAGCAACATAGCGGTCATCATAGACTTTTGTTAAGTCAGTGCGCTTCACCATCTTAGGCTACATCACTACTTACCATCAGGTGGGATCGTAGATAAGCGCTGGCTTAGAATATTAAAAAAAAATCAGAGTTTCGGTGTGAACTTAACCGCCAGCTGATTGCTGTTCCTATATTATCGTTTAAATAATAGTTTGAATTGGATTTCGACACTTAAAAGTGGCGCGATTTTATGTATTAAATGTCTACATATGTTAAATATAAGGGAAACGATGAAACAAGTGTTCCGATGGTGATATAATCCTCAAGTTATTTATCCGCCTAAGCGTCTTGAGACATAACTGGGTTCTTAAGCTGTTAGCCTAAGCTTTTTTCAAAATCTCCGAAAACATCGCAATGTGGCGCATTTACATATACCTAGTATAGATATTTGTTAACATAATTGATTATAATGTATTTTTAAGGTTATTCTTCTAGCCAATGCCACAATATATGAAAAAAAAATATATAGACTGTCATCAAGTTGTAAACATTAAAATAATTTAAAATTAAAAATTTTGTACAGCCGACTTCAATATAAGTTATTTAAGAATAACTTAAAAACTATTGGTCTGACCTTGATCAAATTCATATGGGACCACACGAGAAGTACCAGCTTTCAAATAAAAAAAGAATCATCGAAATCGGTTCACCCAGAAAAAAGTTCTGAGGTAACACACATAAAAAAAAAACGAAAAAAAAACATACAGTCGAATTGAGTACCGGCTCCTTTTTGGAAGTCGGCAGGTAAAACAACATTAAAAAAATTTACTCATAGGACAACTAATTCAGTGGGGTGCTGATTGCAGAACAGATTTCCTGACTTAACACTGCTACGTCGTACTACGTATATTAGTCGGTGATATTTCGGTTTAACGGTTTTCGATTGACCGTGTAGTGGCGTTGTATGAATATTCACTATCCCTATCGTGTCCAGGACGTCGTAATAGGCGACGGAAGGAAACGAAGCTGGAAATGGTTTTCCTAATAACAACAACAAAAAAATATAAAAAAACTGCGGTTGCCAACCCGCTTGCCAGGCGTGGCAACGATGGCAAATATCCCCCCTATAAGGCAATCTATGGGTAAGCCTATGTTAAGCCGTGAACCGTTTGGCGTTTAAAAAAAAGTATATTCCCCCTTTAAAATTTAAACAAAGAAGTAATTTTTTTTTCAAACCGTGAAAGTAATAGTGGCCTCCTACCCCGGTTTTTTACGGATACGATTAAATGTCGTGTTATCTTTATACGACTTGATTACATATGGTCCGAGAGCTCATGACGCATTTTTCATGAAGTGTTTGATGCATCATGAAACTTTGTTTAAAGGTATCAGTCGACTCAATAAGCAGGTATATGACTGTCTGCCTGGCCTACCTGGGTACACCTGGTACTGCGCATACAGTTAAGTCGCAAAAAAAATTGCCCAAAAAAAAGTGTTTGATTCAAATAATAATAATGACTATCCGTCAGCTAAGTTTATAAACAATTAAGAAAATAAATGGCAGACACTTCTGTAGGGGTTTACATAGGAGCAGACTACCACAAAGTTGTATTTTCAAAATTTCCCAAAAAAAGTGTTTGATTCAGTCTGCCATTTTTACAGCGTGTTTATTATATATAATAAAATATTCTCACAAAAAGGCAGACAGTTTCTCCGGGGGTTACTAATTTAAAAATCTATACAAATAAATAAAATTTAAATGTCTGTTTTTAATGTCAAAATAACAATTTTTTACTAAACGCATATGATATTATATACGATATTTATAACAAAAACACAATTTTTAAAATTTTTGTCTGTCTGTCTGATTGTTTGTTCCGGCTAATCTCCGAAATGGCTGGACCGATTTTGACGGGACTTTCACTGACAGATAGTTGATGTTATAACGAGTATTTTAGGCTACTTTTATTTTAGAAATATTATTAGGGTTCCGCGCAAAAAAATAAAACCCTAAAATACACGCGGGCGAAGTCGTCGAAGAAGTGAAAAGTGTTTGATTCAAATAATAATTTCCTATTTGCTCACTATCCGTCTGCTACGTTGGTAAAGAATTAAAAAAAAGGCAGACACTTTTGAAGGGGTTGACAGGGGTAAACGACTCCAAAATTATATTTTCAAAAATTCCAACAAAAGTGTATTATTTAATCTGCCATTTTTACAGCGTGTTTATTATGTACATATAATAAAAAATTATCACAAAAGGGCAGATGTACCCAGGTAGGCCAGGCAGACAGTCATATACCTGCTTATTGAGTCGACTGATACCTTTAAACAAGGTTTCATGATGCATCAAACACTTCATGAAAAATGCGTCATGAGCTCTCGGACCAATAACTGACATTTCGCAGACAAATAGCAGTGAATACTTCATCAAAATACATCGAGTCGTTTAAAAGTTTTAATCGAATACACAGACTCTGGTATGTGACCCTGTTTTATATTATTTTGTGAAGAATAGGAACATTGATAGGTTCTGTTTAATGTTGGATCAGGTGTTCTTGGGTCCTTTTGTTTTGTTGAGTTCCTTTGTCACCACAGTTTTATAAAAAAAAAAAAAAAACTATTAAACGACATCAGAATAACCATCATGAATACATGTTTGTTTATTTATCTGCCTTCGTTGGTCTAGTGGTTGTAAATGCGGTTGCTCATCATGAGGCCAAAATAGGTTATAGGGTTTTACTGTCAAGAAATTCTCAGTAGCAGCCAGGAGAGGATATTGGCGGTGTTTCACCCCCGTGCCTCGGAAAGCACGTGAAGCCCGTAGGTCCTGCGCCTGATCTCTCTCTGGTCGTGTCGGATTAGTGTCCCATCGGACTAAGAGTGAGGGAATAGAGAGTGCACTAGTGCTTGCGCATACAGTGTTCTGCGCAGATTATTTGGTTTGCCAGAGAAATTCGGTCTGGAGTACATTATTTTTATATTTATTTATGTTTTATTGCAAACACAAGTAAAGATAACAAAAAGCGGGCTTCATGCCCATTGACATTCTCTGCAAACAACTCGCCTGATATAAAAGCTCAGACCGCGAGCGACGTTAAAAGATCGAGACGTCTGGTAATGTTATCGCTAATAGGTCTATAAGGTGTATTTGCTTACTGTAAAACTTTTTTTTTACGGGAGAAGCCCTTGTTCAGCGCATAAATTATTCTAACTTAATAATTAAAATGCATCACAAATGTTCACATTAATTACATTAAATAGTAAAGACGAACTAATAAAAAAATACGGATAAATGACGATCTACTCTATAATTGAAATATAAAATAAATGTTCAAAAACAATATGTAATCAAAAATTAACCAACTAATAAATTTCTTAACTAACTATTATTTAAATAAATATTCTACCTACTTTACACTTAAAATTCCTTATGTTATAAATACATTTAAATATAAGTAGTGTCTTCAACTCTGTTTGGAAAACACTTAAGTTTTTTATTTCTTATAGTTTTTTAGGCATCTTGTTAAAAATTAAAACTGTCTGAATTATCAAATCAAATTACATATATGTAATTGATATGTAATTATGTAATTATGATATATGTAATTTGATTTGATAATTATATAATTATTCTCATTAGAGAACAGTGTTTCACAGTTAGGCATAATAGGCAAAGTCAAGGCCATCCTTCTAGTGCTTTGTCTTTCTTTTTATTTCTTTATCAGATTCATAACAATGTCTGTTTTTATAAACATTTAGTGTTGGTGATATAAAATATACAAAAGTCGAACGATGTTTTCAATAGAAAACATCGTTCGACTTTTGTTTAATTTAACCGCGTTCTACCTTTTATATGTTATTGATCAAAAATGAAAACAATATATCCATGGTTCGTATGTAAACAATGATGCCAATAATAATCTAATATACACTTACTTCTTTACAATACCTGATAATAGTGTTCTAATTTCGCTTTTGTATACATTATCTTTCGATCCATTATCGCTCGTTGAAGATTGTATTTTACGACCTCCTTTTTATTATTGTTAACGTTGTATTTGCAGGATTATTGTTAACGGTTAGATATTCACGGTATTGCAAATTAAATTATAGCCTATTGTAGATACTTTAATGTGTTATCGCGACGTTTAGGGACTCCAGAACTTTTTTAACTGAAGTGACAAAGGATTACTAAGCTGAAGTGGCAATGGGCCGGCCATATAGCTTGAAGAACCGACAACCGATGGGGGAAAAGGTTCTCGAGTGGCAGCCTCGTACCGGTAGGCGAAGTGTAGGGCGTCCTCCCACTAGATGCAGGTGCCTCAGGAGCGTTCTTTGTGCATTCTTTGGGGGAGGCCTATGTTCAGCAGTGGACTTGTAGGGCTGTAATGATGATGATGATGATGACAAAGGAACTTATAGTCCCCCTGATATTAAGTGGCTACTGTACTGCAGAACTGCAGTCCATGGACATTTAGCTGCAGCCAAATTTAACCCTTTCCCTGTGCCATAAATCATATGTGAATGTATCAATTGTTTAACTATTGTGTCTGTTTCGCGCACAGGGAAACTGTTAAACAAAAAAGGCTACAGATGCGTTGTCACCTCTGTTGACTAGACTAAGTGGAATGCCTCACTCTTGCAATGCTGTTGTTCAGCCTGTCCTAATCAAAAATCACAAGGAATTTTATGACTACCAAACCATCGCAGAGCTGTTATGATGGCCCGAGGCTATCGAATCATCGTCCTGCCTAGGGCTCCTTTGACAGACAATTCGACCCCCTTCATCAGTAACAAGTAGCAGTAACCGTGTTGGAAATCTAACTTAACTATTTAGTTTTGTAGATTTTTCAAGTGCTAAGACATAGGAATAACTGGCAGAGTTCATCATTGTAAACTTTTTTAATAATAAATATTGTAGTAAGGAAATATATAGAAGTATACATACAAGTGTAATAATGCTAATTATATAATCCAATTTATTATTATAATAAAGTCAGTCTTATTTCATCATTCGGCTGTGTTACCAATCGAATTATACTCGGAAATTAATTAATTATTGTCGTTTGTTGTTTATGTGGTGTCGAAAAGTTACTAACATTCGGAAATAATTATTGACAGGTACAAAAGCAGTGGACGCACTTTTAACGTCCAAATGGGCCACGGGGAAGAACCCGATTTTCACAACCCGTCTCGAAGTCACCGACTATTTACATTTAATGCTGCTTCACAAATTGTTCCATAGAGCTAAAAAGGTACTACACAGGTTATAATTTAATATTATGTATTAATTTTAAAATAAATATAACATAATTTAATAGCATATTGCAAATGACATTGTGCTCCGACCAACGCACATGCGAACAGTATCTCTGCAAAGACATACTTGTATTATAAATTAAAGAATTGTGTTTAAAAGTCTTATTTTTTTTTAAATTATTTCAAGGTTCCCGTAAGTGAACAGGAATTGAAAGGCAAGTCAAAAAAGAAGGATGCGGAAAAGAGTAAGAGTGGCGACGAAAAGGATGGTGAAAAGAGTCAAGCCAGTGCCTGTGAAGGAAAGGTACTGAATTTTTTTATTTAATAAAACGTTACGCAGTCCTAAAAATATGTGACTTCGACATCGCACACTAACTTCGTACCTTGTTTAGGATGTGCTGATAATGTAACTGTAAATATATTTGATATGTGTATTTATTTTTTGTGTTTATTGTAATCTTTTTTTTTATATAGAACTGAAGTGGCAAACGGACATACAGTCCACCTGATGGTAAGTGGTTTCTCTGAGGACTAAGTAAGAATGACATACGCACGGACTATGTGGCCGCAGAAATAGGTAATAGGTTGGTACTTAATACCTACTTCCTAGTACTTAGACGGACTCCTGCTTCTCTTCTTTCACTTCTACCTAGGAAGCAGATAAGATTCTAATTTTGTTTGTGCATTTTGTTTTATTTTCTTATCGTGAAAATTCATGTGAAATTATCAATAAACACAATCTTAAGCCTATGCCTATGCAAAGAGAGAGTCACTGAAATTTTACGGGTTGCTTAAGATTGTGTTTGTTAACAATTTCACATGAATTTTCGGCATGTAAACCCATGTCCGGCAGTGAAATCTCCATAGAAACCTCTATAGGTTTCCTCTAAAATCCGTCGAGCTGATTAATGTACAGAAAAAACTTATCCACGACATTCTATAGCAATTTATAAAATTGAATAAAATACACGAGTTCCTCAAACTCTGTAAAGATATATTTTTTTTAAATTATTCCTACATTAGTAATTAAATTTGTAGTAATATTATATTTGAATAGAAATCTTTGTACACCTTTTTAAGCATAATATTGCGCGCACGGAGTAGTTGTAATATTTGGATAGTTACATATTTAAAATTTATATATTATAATATGAATTACAAAAATATTAAAATAGAATAAATAAAACAGTATTTTTTTACGTTCATAATACCTGACATCGTCAAATACATAATAATCTATGGTCAACAGTCGTACAGAGTAGAGAAAAATGTTAAAATGTTGCCAACAAAACACTTACTGGCTGATTGACCGAAGGAGCAGTGAGAAAGTGCCACACGTAGAATACTGAAACCTCCGACGGGAAGCAGCGTCAAAGGTGTGAGAAGTCTCTTGCTGCGATCGTAACTCCGCCTACCAACGTGACTAATAAAGCAAAGCCTCCTTATAATGGGACAAGCCTATGTCCTTTAAAAATTTATACGACGACGAAGAAGATTTTTTTAATCCTTTAAATGGTCACTATAAACACATAAAAAGATTAAAACAATTATCAACGCTAATTTTTTTTCCAGGACACAAAGGAAAGCAAAGAGAAGGAGAAGAAGAAACGTAAGATAAGGTTGGAAATGCACATGGAGCAAGTGTTCCTCGACACAGCCGACGCGTACGTGTGGATATACGACCCCATGCCCTGGTACTACTGGCTCTGCGGGGCACTCGTGGTCTTCGGCACTATCACTGTCTGCATGTTCCCCTTGTGGCCAGCTACCGTACGGTTAGTTCTTTATTTATTCAAATAGGTACAGTTACACATAATTATAGATTAAATCCTTTATTGGGTTTATATTAAATAAAAACTTGTGAACACGCTCAACGGTTAAAATAGTATTTAAAAATACCCAACTATGTAAAATGTTTATTGACACTAGAAAATGCTCATACCCTATGTCACTTCCAAAAGTACGACGGATCCAACGACACCGGCGTTAGAGGAAACAGAGAATGACACCGGCGATAGAAGCTATAGAGGGAAACAAATCAGGAGATGGGCAGTAGCGTCTTCCTAATAACAACTAAAAATAAAAAAAAGCCGGCAAAGTGCGAGTCGGACTCGCGCATGTATGGTTCCCTACCATCATACAAGATTTAATAGTATGTAGGTAAAAACACGTTTTTAGTAGGGGAGCCCCCATTATACTTTTAATTTATTTTAATTTTATTATTTGTTGTTATAGCGGCAATAGAAATACAGATTCTGTGAAAATTTCAACTGTTTACCTATTATGGATCATGAAATACAGGCCACTGATGGACAGACGGACGGGCGGACAGCGGAAGCTTAGTAATAGGGTCCCGTTGGTTATCCTTTGGATACGTAACCCTATAAACTACGGTTGTCGACGCGCTTGCTAAGCATAACAACTATGGCAAATATAACCCCTTTGAGACGATCTATGGGGGAGGCCTATAAGTTCAGCTGTGGACTTTGACAGACTGTAACGGTAACAGTAACGACACCGGAGCATGCCAAGAAAATAGATACATACATACATATATACACTCAAACAACATTACCCTGCTTCTGGGGCAGTTGGGTAAAAAACAGTACAGACTGTGGCGGCGCTGTCGTCGCGCCACAAGCGAAACACATCGAAGCCTAAATCGCGCTAACAAAGTTCCGAAGTTAAAGTAGTATATATACAATAGCTCCAAACTACCACATGGAGCGTTGGCCGTTCCCCGGGCAGAACACCTTGCCCGGCGGGAGATTTTCCATTTTCCTTCCACCGGCTACACAGACCATAATGTAAAAGTAAGATATTGATTTTAAAATATTTCAATTTCAGAAAAGGTGTATACTACTTAAGTATCGCGGCAGCTGCGTTCCTAGTGATGATCATAGCTCTGGCCGTACTCCGTGTTGTAGTGTTCTGTCTCGTGTGGATACTAACACTGTCGAGACACCATCTTTGGCTCTTGCCCAACCTGACCGAGGACGTGGGATTCTTTGCTTCGTTCTGGCCACTTTATAAGGTTGGTACATTTTGTCATTATAACATAGCACGTCCTTTTTTATTTTATTACTTGGGAAATCCTCATTGATTTCTGGTCATCTTAGAGGCAGCACAGGTAAAGTTGGACACCTACCAAAACTCCATAGGGGCCGCATTCTTTTCTGTTGTATGTATCTGTTGATGAGGGGTACCAGAATATCTTTATGGTATGCGATAGTTGCTTCTCTCTGCTACTATGTGTTGCAGATTATCCTGGGCCCCCAGATATCACAAGTCCAAAGACCTTTCCAAAAAACTATAAACTATAATCCTTAGTTACTCGCATGCATCAATATCCTCCAGGGCTTATCATATCAACACTATCTAGTGGTATCACATATGATTATGCTTTGAGAAAAATGTTGCCTGGCAGGAACCCATTGGTTGTTATGTGAGCCATATAGCATCTAGTTGCCACTATGACTGACTAAAGCTTTGGACTGTCAGTTTATTGTATTCATCATTTTTTAATGGTTTTCTTTATTTGATATTTAATCTGAATTTGATTCCAAAGTAATTTAGTAGTGCCATGCTCTATAACCTGATACTTGTGACTTATAAATAGGTAGAAACACCTAGGGTAAGACTATTTACCCACAGAATACCAGCATTAACGCTTTTAAGTTTTGATGATAACAGTATATAGGTGAGCAGTTGGGTAATCTTAGCCCGGATCTTGATGGTTGTATGTCATTTGAAACCAGTTTTAGTGCAAAAATTAACAGCTATCTGCTGTTAATTTAACAGCAGCAGTATATTTCTAAAAATAACTCAAAATAACAAAAAAAAACCGCGTTTGCCAACCTGCTTGCCAAGCTTTACTTTGACAAATATTCCCCTTATGAGACAATTTAGGGGAGTCCTGTGTTCAGCTGTGGACTTTTGACAGGTTTTGATATCAGCATTTTAACAGTAGGACCCACCCGATTTGCCTTAATTGTCACACTCGTCAGGTGGCCATAGGTTCATAAAGGGAATTAGAAAAAGCTGTTAGAGATTTAATTTAAATACATTATATTATTACAATAATTAACCATGCATTTTTAAATTAATGTACATTTCTGACTTAATTTTCATGTTGCAACAACATATTTCAAAAGCAACAATTTCTCTATTTTTCTTAGTACGAATACCGTGGCCCCGGTTCCGAAAGCGATAAAGCGTCGAAAAACAAGAAGAAACGCAAGAAAGACAAACAATCAGATGACGAAGCGGACGACAAAACGCCGCTCCTCACAGAAGGAACTGGCGACTCCGTTCAGCCAGCCGACACAACCACTGATCATGTGGGTGATAATAACGATGTGCCCAGTCAGCAGCCCGAAACCAAGTAAGATATCTACCCACCTTAATGGTAACAATCTATTTTTTGTGGCTCAGTAGACTGTAATGATCTATTGAGTTTTACATTCAAGTCTCAGTTTACTTAAATATTAGTTCAAGATCTCTATAATTGCATAGGTAATATTAGAGTGCTACAAGTCCCTGCACTAACAAAAAATAGCTCTTGTTCTTACCTATCCAATTTAATATTTACTCATTCAGACAAAAGGAAGGCACAAGAAGACAATCAGCATACATAGTATAACCGGTCTCACAATTAATTGCACGTTGTTGTAGCTCAAATGTTGTCATACGTAACCATATTCCAGCCCGGTATACTGGGCTGCTGGTATATGGTTGTTGGTAGGTAAAGTGGCTCTTATTGGAAGGACACATGGTTTAACCCGGCGAGAATGTGGTGAAAATAATTACATGGAGGTTGCGGAGGGTATCTATGACCCTGTATTTTAATTGCATTGTTTTCGAAATTGTTTGATTTTTTTGTGACTTTTACATAATAATGAAAGGAAATAGGCATTTCTTTTACCATGCAAATAAAATAAACATCAATATTGGTACAAAACTTAGTTATTATTCACACTTTTATAATACTTAAAAATCAAACAAGTTTTTTCAACACTTACGTACATAAAACAACGTAACATAGAATATAAGTAAAAAAACAAACTAACTAAGATAATTTGGTAATCAACAATAAGATCAATCAGTTTCACATAAAATAAAATAAAAAAACTTATAGTTACTCAATATTATTGTCAGTTATTGCAGCACATTCTTGGCAAAAAGAAACTGTGTGTTCTGGACAAATGTACTTATGACAATCTTCACAGACATTGCTCGTCTTTCGATGTCTGGCATAAGGACACACTTGGCACCTTTTTCGTACACCTGGGACCCTTACAGGCGTCTCCTGAGCAGATTCTCCTCCAAATTCTCTCATTCTTTTACGTAGCTGGCTGGACAACTGAGGTATTTCTTTACGAGCACTCATATGTTCGGCTACCATCATACGGCCCAAAGTTTTGATAAAATTACGGCGTTTTTGAGTTGAATTTGTATTACATTTGAATACAATATCTGCATTGATCCCTGCCATATTCAAAATTGCATAGAACACAGTCAGAGGCCATTTTTTGGAGTTGCGGCTTACATCATAAGTTGCGGACAACTCATCTACAACGTCTACTCCTCCTTTAGTGGAGTTATAGAATGTGTTTATTTCTGGTTTTTTTCTCTCTCCAGTAGTTTCGTCAATATCAGCGTCGTGATGGAGACTTGAAATGAGCAGAACAACTTTTTTCTTCTTTGGTATGTAGGATACCAGAGTTATATCTTTTTGAAAGCCGAACTTCGATGAATAAACATCTGCATCACGATCGCTCGTTTTCAAGAACTTGTTCGGGAGTACTCTCTTGTTTTTCCGCACTGTGCCCACAGAAGTCAGCTTGTGCTCGTTGAGTAGATGTGACACAAGTTCATAACTGGTAAACCAGTTGTCAAAAGTAACATTCCGCCCAGTTTTTGAAATGGGAAGCACTAGACGATTCACTACGTCAAAAGATTTATTGTTTACGGAAAATGGTCCTTCTGGCTGCTTTCCTGCATAAATTTCGAGGTTGAAAATGTAAAAATTTTGCGCGTCAACCATTGCTAAGACCTTTATGCCATATTTTGCAGGCTTGGTTGGTATGTATTGTCTAAATTTGCACCTTCCTCTAAATGCCAGCAACATTTCGTCAATGGTGACATATTCGCCCAAGACGTATGATTTCTTACAGTTCTCAACGAACAGCTCGAATATTTCACGTATAGGAGCTAAGTTGTCCAATAGTTTTCTCTCTTCACGCGTAGATTTATCATCAAAACGGAGACAGCTCTGAATAAAATGAAATCGTTGACGTGACATTGTCAACCGAAATATTTCGACTCCTGTACCATCGGAAGCCCACAGATCTGCAGTATTTTGCCTTCCAGAGCGATGAAATCCGGCAATATACAATAAACCGATGAAAGCCTTCAATTCACTCATTTCTAATTCTATCATGAAGTGAGGAAGGTTTTCACGACTAGCATTTCTCTCTCGAATTTGTAGATTTGTGTGAGTCAGGATAATGTAAATCATATTTTCGGGACAAAACAAGCTCCAACATTCAAGTTCTGACTGTGCTAATCTTGCTTCTGCGCTCACACCAGGTGTTTGTTTGATAATATTTTCTGAGCGCGTCCGAACTTGCCGTGAAGGCGGATTTTTGAACCACTTGGAGCCATCTTTACCTGTATAAAACGAATCCCTCACCTGGGCATCTAATTCCTCTTCTTCAAGCAGAATTTGATTCTGGCTTCGCAAGCTCGATATCGGAACGTCATCTTCGCTGTCATATTCACTGCTTATGTTCTGCTCAGTATCACTACCGCAACTGCGTACACTCAAATGATCTTCATTTTCACTGCTTTCTAACAGGAACTCATTTTCGCTGTCTGATTCCATCAATTTTTGACGTATCCACTCATCTCGATTTTCTTGCCGACTCATTTTAATCAAAAATACCTACAAAGACAACAATATTCAAATAAAACAAAAATAAAAAATCGTAAAAAAAATGTTACGTCGCGATTGTCGCGGGGTCATATTCACCCTTATTCGCTTTGCGCACGTCCAACTCCCATCGCAGGCGACGGCCGACTAAATAGAGGCGTGCGGGGTGCGCTGTGGTCTATTCGTGACAGCTACTGAGACATTCGAAAACGTGCGCCCGCGCGAAATATAAAATCTAGCCGATTTAAATTTGTTAGGGTCAAACTGACCCCTCCACATTCTCGCCGGGTTAAGGATAGCTAAATTTTTAACAGTAGTAGAGCCACGCGGCAGCTTTTGCTGTCGCACGGATGGGCAGGCTCGAACCGGGGTGGTACCACGACCTCACAGAAAACCAGCGTGAAGTAGAGGTTTACCTCTGCGTTTCGCTTGGTGAGTGCAGGTGGCTGGAGGCCCTTTTTACTGGAAATGAGGCATTCCATCTTAGTCCTCACGGGTGACAACGTATCTACATTTTGATTTGTAACAGAGGATAGATGTAGAAGTCTATGGGCCGCAGCAACCACTTACCATCAGGTGGACTGTGTGTTCGTTTGTCACCCTTATCCTATAAAAAAAAATACTATGTGAAGAAGAGATTGTTATGTTTGTCAGAAGATTTCAGTATTAAGGACTGTGGTAGTTGAAGGCTTAAGCGCTCACTGTAAATTTTACAGTACACGAGCAAACCCAGGTTCAATCCCTGCCAACATCAATGAAATTGTTAATTGTAATTTTAAGTGTTGATTTACCAACTACTCGGCAGTGAAGGAAAACATCGTGAGGAAATATGCATGTCTGAGAAATTAAAAAAGTATTTTAAAGACATGCAGTCCGCCAATACGCATTGGAACAGCGCAGTGGACACTTCCTTGGTCTAAAACCATTTCAGAAATTAAAGGAGGTCTGCGACCAGAAGTGGGACGTATATAGCCTGTAACTTTATTTATTTATCCACCTGGCCTTGGTACGAATCCAAGTGGGTTCTAACATTTTTTGCACAAACACAAATAATTATTCTTGTTTTTTTGTGTTGTCAACGCTATGTTCCTTAAACTGAATTCAAGCTTGGTTTTTGTAACAAATCGATGACAAGATACCAGATACCTCCGAAGTGCAGTTGATAGTCTTGGGATTTGTCAACATATTTGAAATTGTCCAGAGATGTCATTGATGATGATAATGTCTAATACTGAATATGAATATCCCTATCCATATCTCACTAATACCCAGCCTAATTATTACAGAGAGGAACAGCCGGAGGTTCCCACAGCGGACAAACTGTCCGAATCAGAATCCGAGAACAGCCAGCGTTCGTCAACTGACAGGGACTTTGAGATGGTGGAGCCTGGGGACATAGAAGGGGGCGATACACCGAATCAAAATCCCTAGGACTTCGCCCCCATAAATAGTAGTAAATTATATTATATCTGATAACAAATAATTGGTACTAGAGCCTATGTATGGCTTATGTCAAAATTCTACGCACCAAATCCTGCACATATTTTGCTTAGAAGTTCAGTATAATGTGCGAATATTTACAAAGTATTTGGAAAGAAGAAGTGACATAGATACCTATTTCACATTTATCTATTTTAATCTAAAGCTTGACATTGATGTGACTTTCATTTCTAAACTAGGATCTTTCCGATTTCAATGTTACGGATTTTATTGCATTTCATTTTAACATCTCAAGCAACACATGGACCATTCCGGTCGATGCTGTAAAGTGCCCGAAACGTTGGAAATTAAAAAGTTAAAACTAAACGCGATAAAATCCGTAAAATTAGTTTTATTCCTATTTAAATGTATAAAATATGATTGTGCTTATATTTATTGTGAAATAAATATAAAAACGGAAGTTATATATAATATATAGGTACATTTCCTTTATGAATTCTATTTACAAATTAGTTTTGTTCTATTCTTTTATAATAAATTGTAATAATTGTTTGTGTATTTTTTATGGACTTAAAAATAGACAATGTGAAATATGTTCGAATGTATTTTGATCTGAAGGCGATATTTTGTTATAGTGCCCGCGTTATCAACTGAGTCGTCGGGCAATAAATCACTGTAATCATCATCTATTTCGCTCGCGCTCATTGGGCTTATGGAGCGTCATAGTGATGAGCGTAAAAGCAGATAGTCGATATCGATAAGATTTATTGAATGGATTTTTTAAGGTTTGAAATTCGATCGACTGTCGCTCTGCTAACACCACAAATAAACGCAACATTTTTCTTGTGTTTTATTAAAATTAAGCTGGGATATTTTTTCGGGATCAGTTTTCAATTCATTTATAAACAAAAATATATTGTAACTATTCGAGTTTGCACGTTAATATCACCTTTTAATTTTTCGAAATCCACGTTAGAGAATATATTTTCAATTATGCACAACTCGAGATCGAAGTGAGAAATAGAAATGAAAAAAAAAATGGACAGAGGTCCTTACCTTGTTACCTTACTAAACATAAACAAGTAACGACAAATTCAATGAGGGTGCTTTGTCTGCCGCGATAAGGCGGACTCAGGTAGCGAGTGGCGCATAGCGGTGGCCACGGAGCAAATACAAAGAGGAGGTTATATAATTAGATTTCAGTGACAATTTGCTGGGTGAGAGGGTGTTAAGCCCCGCCCACTTAACTAATTTCCATCTACCGATAAACAGTAAAACTACTCGCATCGTTCAATATCGATGTTGCAATGTAGTTTAGCTACCTTGACGATAGATGCGGCCTGTTCACAAAATGATTATAAAAACTATAAAAATAATATTTTGGTAATTGAAAATTCTTTAGGACTGAATGCAAAACAAATTTCAGCCTCTTCGTATGTTTATTTTACCAATACTGAGCTCGACGTATCTTTATATTTCTAGGTCCCATGACATAGTGTCGCCATCTAGTGTCGCATATATTTAATTATATTTGAAAGCCGACGCAAAGAGATTTTTCTAGAACTATTTTAATAAATAAGGTATAATTTTACTTACAAATGAAATGTGATGCCATCCATAGCATCAGAGCGTCTATCTGAGTAGTTTTTTCACGATAAAACGCAACACTTTCTCACACAACACATCCTTTTCTACTTAATACTACGAAAATACACCGATTTGCGATTTTCAACATATAAGCGCACAATACGAACGCTAACAGTATACTAACTAAAGCCACGTCCACTGTGATGACGTCAGGACCTAGTTAGAATCACAGTGCACAGCTACTTAGGCCGTCTCCTCTTTGTATTTGCTCCGTGGCGGTGGCATATTCCTATTGTTATTGACATTTATGGCCCGACGACTCTGTTAATAACGCGGGGGCTATAGTAAAAGAATTTACATAACTTGACATAATTTATTTATTCGCTAAAAAATTTCATAAATACCTTAGCAATACAAGTGCATTTGAGTATATGTAGAATTTAATATAGGCTACACAAATTAGGGTAAAATTAAAGTATTCCTAGAACACGGGCAATGATAGGTTAATAGTATGGGACATTTTGATATATGTGCATGGAACAGTTACATTTAATTGAATATACATAATATGTTGTATTAATTACTTAAACAATAAACAATTAAAGGATATTATGTGTATTGCATAATCAGCCTATACAATTCACATGTACATATTATGCCTTTTTAATATTTTTATAATATAATCTGTCTCTAATCAGTTTTCTGTGAATGTAAAAAATGTTTAGATAATTTTTTTAAGTCATATATTTTATTATTTAAAAAAAAATCTTTAAAGTATTTCTAAAAAAAGGTATCTAAACATTTTTAGATATAATCGTGTTTGGAAACATTTAAATGGGAGATTGAGACTATAAACACTACAACAAATTGCGTTCAAACACGTAGGGGATGCTATTATAGACGTTGTTCGTGTGAAAGACTGAAATTCGTGTGCGTTATATAAGTGACGATACCGTATCGCTATTTAGAAAATTACAAATTCATAATGAAATCTAACAAGTGTGTGTAAAATTATATCGATATTTTCTAGATAGTACTATTCGTATTAATGTTAATATTATTATAATCGTAAGGTTCAGCAAAAATCAAATTGATTATGTATCAATTTTATTATATTATATAAATGCTATAATACGGCGTTATTTTTGGTCGGCGAGTGCTGCCAAACCTTTTTTTTAATATTAAAATGACAATCTAACGGTCAACCAGGTATGCGGTTATTTGCAGTCTACGGACATCAGTTAAAAACAAAAAAGATAAATTGTTTTTACCAGGATTGATTTGAAGTCTCTCGCAGCCCGTGATCATACTGGCTGTAGGTAGGAGTGTGGTATCAAAACAAGGAATCGTAGGCAGAAGAGGAATCCTACTTTAATAAAAGATTATTTATTTATATTATATGCATTTTTATTACTGTACTTTTGTAATGTACTATAAATTTATAAATGCATCATATATTCGTATATATATTATATATATACACACGTGTGTGTGTGTGTCTCATGTCCCAGCTAGGAACCTACTCGTGTAGTAATAGGGTTGATTTTAGATAAATTATTAATATCGATTGAAAATGTATGCAATTATTTTGCAATTATATTTGTCTTATATAAAAATCAGTTTTGTGATTTCACGTTTTGGTGCTGTCGGTTAATAATGTGACAAAAACTGTGTAAATGGAAACTCATATCATATATTAATGAAACTGGATTTCTTTGTATATATCATATTATTATTATTATAAAATGGTTTCTCTGAATCGTATTGTGATTTTAAACAATTAATTTAAATGGTATTATTTTAATAAAGTTGGATTTGTTGTCAAAATAAAGCGTAAGAATTTGGACTCGAAATACATTCTATTTTTTTAATATTTCGACTTTTTCTTTATTTAATAAGTGGCGTTATGAGTTTCCTTTGCCTCTTGAAGTTGTGACACTTTTTCCTTGAAATTAGTGCATTTTATTCTTATTACGTGTTAAATGTTTTGTAAATATGTTCCTCCGTCATATTTTATCCAACCGGTGTCATGCGACGACGTAACGTTATGTAACGCTAACGAAATAAACAATATACTCTTTTTAATCTTGCTTTTTATTTTATTATTTTATAAGCATTTGACACAAATTATGTACATTTTGGGTATTTTCTATTGCAATCGTTCCATCTTACTTTATAGAAATAGTTTTATATTTTTTGATTTGATATAATTACGACTAATTCTCCTACATTCCTCTGAGGAATTCGTAAATCATAAGTATGTTGCATTCAAAGGTTGCCTCTCTTTTCTTGTTCCAATTCAATTGATTCGAAGAGTGTTTTAAAGTTGCCAGCTCCAAATCCCTGCAATAACATGAATGGATTAGTAACATAGGGATTTCATATATATATATATAATTATATATATATATATATATATATATATAAATGAAAAATTCATATAAACGTTATTCTGGCAATTTTCCTGCACTGTTATTCAAGGCGTTTTTCAAACTATATTTTTTTAATAATTTAAGGTGACAACCGAGCACACTTCACCCGATGGTAAGTGGACGCTTTGCATCTCCGCTAGGAGTAAAGTATTCTGTGACGCTTTGGCCCGTAGACATCTACGTACTTGATTAATATTAACCAAAATGTAGATGCGCGTTATCTCCGCTGAGGACTAAGATAGGATGCCTCGTTACCAGTAAAAAGGCGTCTCCGGTTCTCTACACTTACAATACACAGCAACATTAAGCTGCTATTCTACGCTGATATTCTGTGGTAGCTGCAGCGTGACTTTATTATGAAGCAAAACATCACAAAGAAATTGAATATCTAAGAAATTAAAATTTCGACGTGAAATTCGCTCCTTAACCCTCTCAAGAGAGGAGACCTAGCAGCGGGACAGAAATTTTAAAACGCTTATTCATGCATATTATACAGAACATTGCACTCACGTTGTGGTTTCGTCTCTGAATAACCTCCAAAAACAGCGTGGGTCGGTCCTGCGTGTTCTTTGTGAAGATCTGCAGCAGATAGCCATTGTCATCGTAGTCTATCAGGATGTTCAGTCGCTCCAGTTCGTCTATGCTCTCGGCGACTCGCACTTTACTGTGCTGCAAGCGTTCTCGGATGATGGTGTAGTATTTCGATGGTATGCTGAGGAATTCGACACCTCGGTCTCGGAGGTTCTTAATCTGTATAAAAAATTGTTGTTATTAATATTTTACTAGATTTATCGATCATGACGAAGATTTTCCGTGTATATGGCGTGTATTAGCGGCGTAAGCATGCTCACTACTCCATATCATCGATATATGATCATAGAGAAATGAAACGAGATGGGCAGCAGCATCTTTCTGGTAATAATAAAAAACTGCAGCTGCCAATCCATCTACTGGCTACTATGGCAATTACTC